GCATCTTTAAATTTAAATTTTAATTGCTATAAAAGAACTGAATTGGAATCTGATTTTTATCTAGTTTGAAAAACTTGATTGGATTTTTAATCCATTTACATTTAATATTATTACCAGTATATTTGAATTTATGCTTTATAAAATCAGCAGACAATAACATATCATTGTAATCACCACTATCTATAATTTTTTGTGAAGCAGCCAAGACTGATGAATGTATAGTGTTTACCCTGTATGTGCTATTTTTATTATCTCCCTTTGTATGTATTCCTTTGTACTGTTAATTCTTTATTAAAAGATAGCTTTACTGCTTTATATATTCTTTGCATTTTAGCTTTAGAATATATTATCCTAATAAATGTTACAGGTCCAATGTAATATATATTGTTTCATATACTTGTTTGTGAAATTACCCAAGGGAAAACATTTTCCATATACCATCTTTTACAATTGTGTAACTACCTTTACTAATGCTCTTGCCTTTTTCACATGAAATTGAATTATACTCTTGGGTTAGTTACTTTCATCATGGAGAGTTTTCTTTCAGTATTCCCTGCAATGCATGTTTGCTTGGAGTGTTGGTTAATTCTGTACCCAAAGCAAAAATACCTCAAAGTAACAAATTAACAGGAAAAGCTATGTACTTTGGCCCACAGTTGTAGAAAACTCAGCTAAACACTCACTATGTGGCTCAACTGAATACTACATGGCTCACTAGAACAAGGGCAGGGAATGAGCAGTAAATGTATGGGGCCAAGGCAAGATAAGGCACCCAAACATACTTCGTTACCTATTTCCTCTAACCAGTCAGGAGGCTCTACCATTTCCTCATAGTCTATTCAAAATTTGAATCAATCAATGGATTAATCCATTCATTAAATCAAACTTTCCATAATGTAATGTTTTCACAGACACAACCAGAGGTGTGCTCCACTAATTCAGCCTTTGTCAATCTAATCAAGATTACAACCTAGATTAATCCTTAGCCAGTGGTCTCTACAAGCCATCTGCCCTACATTTGAGCTTGTTGACCTCATAGATCTACCACTGTGTCTTCTGCTTGCTTATGAAAATAACCTTGTTCACAAGTTCCTGTGGGGTTAACCCCTGAAATCTTTTAAATAAGGTTCTCTTCTTAATTCTTTTGCATGGAATCTGCATTACTTTAGCAATCTAGGATTAAGACAATTTGATCCCCAACATGCTAATACTTGGTTCAAAATAATATTTCATGAATAGTGAAATTTCATACTTTATCAAAAAATATACATGCACACACACAGTTGTATGCTTATAACAATAATTTCTCGGGGTGGTGGGGGTGGTGGTGATAAATGGCAGTGTGATAATGCCTAACAAATATTCTGTTGTACTCATAGATTGGTGTCTAGGCCAATAGTCATCAGAGAGGTTTCATCCAACAACTGGTAGAAACAGATGCAGAGACCCACAGTAAAACATTAGACTGAAATCAGGGAATCCTGTTTAAGAGAGGGAGGAAGGATTATAGGAGCCAGAGGGGTCAAGAACTTCACAAGGAAACCCACAGATTGAACTAACTTCGGCTTGAAGGAGCTCACAGAAACCAAACCAATAACCAGGAATCCAATGTGGGACTGACCTAGGCCCTCTGCATATATGTGACAGTTATGGAACTTGGTCTTCTTGTGGGATGCCTAACAGTGGGAGTAGAGGCTGTCTCTGATTCTTTTTGCTGGCTTTGGGAACCCTATTTCTCATACTGGGTGGGTTGCATTGCCCAGCCTTAACACAAAGCAAGGTGCTTCGTCTTACTACAACTTTATATGCCATGTTTTGTTGATATTCATGGGAGGCCTGGCCTTTTTAAAATAGAATTGGAGGAGGAGTAAAAGTGGGGGGAAAGGCAGAATGGAAGTTGGGGTGGGGTACTGGGAGAAGAGGAGGGAGGGAAAACTGTGGTCAGTTTGTACAAAAAACAAACACACAAGTAAATAAATAATGAACCACTCAAAACATTATTTGCCATGTGGAAAACCGAGATAAAAGTAATAGTTTCTATTTTAACTTAATTTTGAATACTGTTTAATTTGAGGAAACCAATATAATACAAACAGTAGCTCCATGATTGACCTCATCCATGCTGTAGTTACGATTATTATTGATTGCTGTGAGGAAACACCATGGCCAAAGCAATTCTGGAAGGAAAGAGTTTATTCAGCTTATTCTTCAGCATCACAGTTCATCATCATTGGAAGTCAGGACAGGAACTTAAACAGGGCAAGGCCATGGAGGGGTGCTACTTACTGGCTTGCTCCTCATGGTTTGCTCAGCTTAAATTTTTACAGAACACAGGACCACCAGCCCAGGGGTGGCCCCACCCACAATGGGTTGGGCCCTCCCCCATCAATCCCAAATTAAGGAAATGCTCTACAGGCTTGCCTGCGTACCAATCTTATGGAGAATTTTCTTAAGTGAGGTTCTTTCCTCTCAGATGACTTTAGCTAGTGTTAAGTTGACATAAAACTAGCCAGCACAGTCAGCCTGTTGTCTTTTCTCTGTGCCATTGCTCTTATTCATTCTGTCTTCACATTTCACTCAAGGTACTGCTTCATCCATAGACCTAGTCTATAATTTGATATAAGCCAGAAGTGCCCAAGAAAAATATAATATAAATGACATTTATATTGAATAGTTTGCTTTGAGCTCCTCATTCAATGTGTGGAAAACTCAGTTAACATTGAAAAACAATAATGCTCCTTCACAACCAAGGTATATGCACTACATTTCTCTCTATTAGTACTTCTCAATACTCATGCTTTTCTTGTGTATCTCCTGTGACAATTTTCTACATTGCCATTATTATTATCATCATCATTATTTTAAGAATGTGTTTAATTATGTAACTACCATTTGCCGACTATATTTCATTCAGCTCTCTGATCTGTGACAGCTTAAATGTTATCTTCCCTATTCAGTGCTGTCTCCCTGATACCAAGCATACTACTGTTGCTCAAATGAATTTCACTGATTCAAATAGGGAAGCCCCAACAAAATGCGACTTCTCTAGCAAATGACAAGCATAGAATCACAAAATAATGAGTTTTGAAGTGCTAAAAGGATGATTTTTACACATTACATTTTCGTTGATCATCAGTTAATTGCTTATTTTCTTTTAAATGGAGTTTAACTGAAACACTCAGTATTTATGCCATGTCCACAATCTAACTTGATTTGCCTCTACTATTGCCATTGTTCTTGGTTACCCATCCTACCTAGACATAACTAGACACTCCGGTGCTAAAGACACACAATACTCCTTGATTGCAAGACAGAGAAATGAAGCTAGAATTGACGTGTAAACTTCCTGCCTACTGGCTAGATATAGTGCTAGTAGGTATGACGCAGGCCCCTGGGGAAGATGGGGCATGCCAGTTGTACCCCCTTGGGACAATAGTGACAACTGTTATAGGAACAAGCAACTGATTTCCTAGTGAAGTTAAGGCCTTGTGCAGGTTAGTTTTACAAACTCAATACAAGCTAGAGTCGTCTCAGAAAAGGAATTTCAATTGAGAAAATGCCTCCATCAGATTTATTTGTAGGCAGGTTCATTGAGGGCATTTTTTTTGAATGACAACTGATCTGGGAGGATCCAGCCCACAGTGGGCAGCGCCACCTCTAGATAAGTGGTCCTGGGTTGTGTACAAAAAGGAAGTTGAGCCAAGCCATGAGGAGAAAGCTAATGAGTAGCATTCCTCAATGGCCTCTGTTTCAATTTCTACTTCCAGGTTCCTGCCTTCACTTCTCTCAGAGATAGACTGTGATCACGACATGTCAGCCAAATAAAGCCCCTCCTCCCCAAGTGGTTTTTGGTTAGTGTTTTTTTTTTTAAATCATAGCAATAAAGAAACAAACAAGGCCAAACCTACTCCGTAGGAGATACTATGTCTGGTACTTTATACCTGGTCAAAAGTCCATGGCTTGACTTGGGAAGTACTCGAGGAGAATCTATTACTTCTGTCCTGCTAAGTGGATATGTTGTCCAACAACCTTCTGGGTATTGTAAATGCATTCCATAGACTCCTGCTACTCCCAGATTTTGTCTATAGCAGTTTGTTTTGCAATGGATAGCACATACCTACCTGATCAAGCTGCTGAGAATAACTGATGGTGGAGTGTTCAAGCCCTTCTAGCTTCCTTAGCCTCAAGGCTCAGAAAATTGCTTAGTTATGGCTTCTACTGCTGTAAAAATACAACATGACGATAAGCAACCCGGGGAGGAAAGGGTTAATACATTTCATCTTACAGCTTGTAGTCCAGAATCCAGGGTAACCATAGCAGCACCTAGAGGCAGGAAGTGGTATAGACACCACTGATGAGTGTTGCTTACTGCCTCGCTCCGCGTGGCTTTCTTATATCACTCAGAGGTAACATCCGAAGGGTGGCTTCACCCACTGTGAACTGGGTCCTTCCACATCAGTTTGTGATCAGGAGACTGAACCACAGGCTTATTTATAGACCCGTCTGGTGGGGAC